CTATTCCGAATAGCGCTGAATAGCGCTGATTGGTTGCTTCAATGACGCATTCTCCATTCCGCAGTCTTTTTCCGCACCGTGTGATTTCACCGTAAGGCTTCCTTAAATTTATCTTTAGATGCTCAATAGCCAATGAAATAATTCGTAAAGCATCTAAAGATAAATTTAAGGAAGCCTTAAATATAAAGCTGGTTCTACATTAGTCGCATCGCAACGTCGCAAGCGTCCAACGTCAAGCTAGCTCGACTCTGATTGGATCATAACGCTTGCGACACGCTTGCGATGCTGCGATGCGATCAATGTAGAATCAGCTTAAGGCCTGACAATGGCTGCGTTCAGCAGAACGTTTGTTTGCAACTGTTGGAAGTTTCCTTCGCGCTAATTGGATCATACTTTTAGATCTAGAAGAATGGTCCTATCTCAGCAGACAATCATAAAACGGTTGCAAAACTGTTGAGTCTGCTGAACGCAGCCTATGAGTACGGGCATAAATCTAGTGACTTTAGTCATGTCGTGACTTTTTATAGGGACTCTAGCGGGGATTATTGGCTGGGGCCATTTGGCAACACTGCGAACGGTTTGAATTTGAATGATGGAGTAGATGGGGTTAGGAGAGATTGGTTTTTTGTCAATATTTGTTAGGTCTAGTCATGATTCAGATGATTTGGTATAATCTTGTGTGATTTTCGTTAACAATTTTGACAGGATGGTAGAAAACGAGATAAGGACAACATGCTTGAAATACATAAAGACTCTGAAGTGTAAGTTGCAAACGTCCATGACTGGGTGCTATTTTGTATACGCTTACTGAAGTTTTGCTCGCGTCGCATGCTCCTGTCACAGTTCTTACTTAGGCCCGTATTCGTAGTCAGGCCTTATATTTAAGGCTTCCTTAAATTTATCTTCGGATGCTGTACGAATTATTTCATTGGCTACTGAGAGCATCTAAAGATAAATTTAAGGAAGAGCCGTAAGTATAAGGTCTGACTATGAATACGGGCATTAGTTCAACGCGCTCATCCTACTCATTAGAGTGAATAGGAGTTATGGTAAGAGCATATTGGAGTATTCGGCGCGAAACACCTCGAAAAACCTCGATAGTTGTCGGTGTCGTTATGTGTCTTATGCTCGATATTTCGTTATATCTTGCATGCCAAATTTGTGATTGTACTCGCAAGTGATGGCATAACTTCGTTGCATTCTCTATTGGATTTTCCGAATAAATGAACCATCTTATCTCGAGGATCGTTAAGTAAGCTTTAGCAAATCGTCAATTCTCATCAAATATGAGATATTTTGTATGATAAAGAAGTTACACAATGCACATAATAACACCAACAACTACGAATGGACATACATAGATTAGTACTTCTGATCTACTTGTGTTGCACATACTATAATACTTTGCTTTCTATAAATGAAGCATGTTTTATATGTTTTTATATAGCTTTTAAAGATATTTTGGCCATATTATTAGCTAAAAGTATCACTCAAATGTCAGCCAAAATGAGTTAGCCAGTATTATAAAAAAAATTGTAATGATACTGGTTCGTGAACATCTGAAATCAACTGCAAAAAATAAAACGAATAATTTGACATAATGGTTTTATGCAACAAAATGGCCATATTTTTTAATAATAGCCAGTTTTACTACATCTGATGAGTTTGATCGGTCGATTATTTTATTGCAACTAAGTTGTAAACCACTGAGGATGTAAACCATTGCAGTGTATAGATTTGGAATACTGGGCATTACTTAAAAAAAGTGTGTATTACGCTAATTGATATGAAATTTTGCATTATTGGGAATTGTAGTACATTACTAGGACATTAATTGGATATTACTAGGGCATTAATAAGCATTACTTAACGGGTTTAAAAAATTGAGTATTAGACATTACTGAGCATTAGTAAACATTGGTGTATATAATTTTGGTCAACGGTTTATCTTTTGATTAGAACTGACAACATCTATCATTCAATAGAAATTATCAATCACAATTGTCACTTATTCGATTGATCAAGCTGATCGGAGATGGTAAAATCAGCTCATAGGATATCCAAATAAACTTTTACACGAATATCTATTTATTATTGTTTGATCGGTATATTTAATTATCTATATTTTTTAATATCATATACATGTATACAAAGTTCAAAATTTAATTAATGATTATATTTAAATTAATAGTTAATGATCAGAAATTTGGAATTACTTTTTTTATTTCTTTTAGTAAAAGGCACAAACGTAGAGTTTGACACATGTCTTACCACATTACAAGATCAAGCTGCCACAAGGGGATTAGATGACGATATTCTCAATCAGCTCTTAGATGTTATTATACATATAGATTTAGGTCAGTATCTTGTTAATAAATATTAACATAAGTATTTCATAAATTTGAAAGGCTATATGATCTGTATGTATATGTTCAAATAAACTAAATTTTAAATTTATATTTATCAGGTGCAATGAAACGGGTGTCGTTGATAAAATGTTTGATTCCACGGTACAAACTGTCTGAGAAAATAGTGAAAACTGTAATCACTTGGTGTCTTTCTTCATTAAATAATTTGCCATTTACCGTTAGTGTAATTATTATACAATGGATCATAGGTAATTTAATTCTTAATCTAAGATCTGCTTGCATTTACTGTAAATATATTTAATATATATTATTTATTATAACCTAGAAATATATATATATGTGTGTATGTTTACACACATACAATAATATATTGAAAATATTATGTTAATGATTAGGTATATGGGATTATGAATTAGTAGATAGAAAAGTAATCAACATCTATTATGACATCTTCTTTTATATTATGCTCAAGAAACAGAAACTGGTAATGTATACATTCTTTATATAAATATTTTATATTTAATATTTATTCTTAAGAAGAGAAATGTAAAAATATGACTTCATATATTTCTTCAGTATTAAGAAGGTTCAATATAATTTAAAGAATTTTACCTTGATATTTTAATATATATCTTTATTATGTATTAATGTCTAATGGTTGAAGTATATCTTGCTTAAATTAAGCTAATAGTAAAGTATTCTGTATCATGTACAAATGTAAATTTTAGGCACGTTATATAGCACGTCTTATTTATGTGCTGACTAAACCAGAAGATGTTTCACGCAGAGATGTCACAAGATTATTAATACTTCAGAAAAGTTACTCTAAACCTCCAACACATATTATTGCATTACTTTCGTAAGTATAATTGTATATAATATTTGCTTCATTATTAAAAATACTTATTGAACGTGTTTATAGCTTATTTAAATCATATAAACCAGAATTAGTACCTGAGAAAATAGAATCAGTAAATATAGAAAGTGTATGGAAACCTATTCCTGAAATCATACGATTAGCATTGGAAGATGCCAGAGATCGTGCGGAAATTCTACAATCTTGTCAAAGCACTCAACCTTTCTTTAAGTGGAACGTAATACAGGTATAAACAATGTATGAGTATAATATGATATGTAGAATATGATATATATAATATGAATTTAAAATAGATTATAAAAATTGTTATTTGTATAGAATTTAAAAGTTAAAAAAAGAACAAAGGCGCTCCTACCATCTGTTGGTTATTTTCATATGGGTTCAAGTATTTTTAAAGATAAAGATGCAAAGTCAATTTTTGATATAAATAGGTGAGTAATATATCTGAACTAATATATTTTTTTTCTGTCACTTATATTGATATTAATATACGATGTTAATATACAATATATATATATATATATATGTGTGTGTGTGTATTGTGTGTGTGTGTATCAGTATAGAAGAATTAGGAAAGTATCATCAGAATGTTGAATTGCCTTGCAATGCTGTTTCGCTTTTGGCAAATATGATTGGTTACCATCTTCTTACATTCGCGGACTTTCAGTACCAAAGTAGATTTTCGTACAATCTTTACAATACGCTTACAAGAGGTATGTGTCTATTGATTATTTTCTTGCTACTACAAAAAACTATTTAATATAAATTATTAATATATAACTTTCTGTTAAGCTGTATATATTTTAAAACCAATATATTACTGTTTTAGCATTTATACTGGAAAATGGAAAGTTTTCCAAGGAGGAAATGGATAAATTTTTAACTATGACAATCGAATTTTCTCGATACATGCAGGAAGGAATACTTATAGTTAAACTATTCTTTGATGAATATTTATATTACAATTCAGGAGAACATTTGTTAAGGTTGCTAGATTTGTTGCAATGGATGACTTCTATATCAGTGACTGGTAACTATGAAGCTATTCTAGCTGGTCTTATAAAATGTTAACATATTAAATTAAAATATTATATTTATATTTTCAGAGTTACGAGAAAACATTCTACTACATGTACAGAATATATTTTATGAATCAAGTTTAAACGTAAAATGTGAAATAATTAGATCTCTACAGAAACTAATTACGAACTTGGTAAGGATTCGATATATTTTCTCAATTTGTAACATATCCATATTTTTAGTTAATTTTCCATATATAATTTCTACGTGTTTGTTTAATATCGTTATAAGATAACAATATTAAACACATAGAAATTATATGTAAATATTGATTGTGACAGGAGTACGGAAGATTAATTTTTTTGCAAAATACAAATTGCATGTACGTTAACAGTTTATTTTCTTTACATATATGTATAATTGTTACATTACAATTCACTACAGTTTGTAAGACAAGGACTTGAAGAACAGGATCAATATGCATCATCCTTTTTGCAACAAGGTCGATTAGAAGATTTAGCAGAGATCATACCTGTGATTACAACAATATTAGAAAATCTTATTATTTGTGGGTTGAACATACACAATTACGATATCATATTGTTATCAGAATGTTTAGCATTTTATGAAGAGGTATATACAAAAATTGTAAATAATGTAATTAAAATGTTTAACTGGTTAATTTGTAAGTATTTATTTGTGTTTGTTTCAAAGATCTGTACATTAGAAAGCCGTAGTTGTGTATTATCTTGGACATTGCCGCCACCAGCAGTCATCTATGGAGCATTTATTACGAAGAGTTGTGCTATCTTGTCGAGAATTTGTAGATTACTATTGAGGTATTAATTTTGTTTAATAATTCATTGCTTTTTAAATTAATTTCATTCTATACTATTGATACTTGAATTATTACAGATATCGCGAAATGAGTCCACATTTACGCCAGATTATGCTATCAGATAAATACGAAGAAAAAATTTGTATTTTATCTATTTATGCAAATGATATTTATAAAGCATTATGGTATGATGAGGTACGTACGAACAAGAAATAAAATGCTAAATAAACTTGTTATTATATACAAATAAGCGGTATTAAAAGAAATATTTAAACAGTCTTTTAGTGAGAGTGGTAACATTTTGAAAAATCTTTCAAAAAAAGTACGCAACGATTTAGGAGATTGTGATCTGGAGACTTTATTGAATATTAGCAATCATTATGCTATATTATCCTACAGATGCACACTAAGTAAAAGAGGCTTAAAAATAAATACAAAAGAGGTAAATATTAAAATATCTATTACAAATTTTTTTAACTTCAAATTCATTTAAACAACTAATAACTTGTAATTCACTGTAAAGTAATATAAATTAATATATTAAAGAAAGTTTTAAATTATGATTTTTCAATTTATTTAAAACAAATAATTTAATAAAAAGAAGGAAATTTGATTGATTTTAGAAATTGTACATATTTCAGGATTGGGAAATGTTACTTTCCCGTTACTTTTTATAATAAACAATTTGACAATGACATTGCAATTTTTTATGACAGTAACGCTAACTAACTAAACTCTAAGATTGTGCCAAAGTTGAAAAAGTCACTTTGAGAAATAATTTATCACCATTATGCGTTACCTACTGAAAAAATAAGAAATGAGTAACACGTAACGTTACTCATTACAAGTAACGATTGACTTTTTCAACTCTGGTGTTACCATTACCGTAATAAAAAATTTGCAATGTCGTTATCACATAAATCGTTATTATAACAAGATAACAATCAACAAAGTAACGACGTTACAATAACTTCCCATCTCTGCATATTTAATTCTTTAAAACAAATATTTTGATTGAACTTTCTCATGCATACACTCGGTCTCTTAATGTCATTCTTATTAATTTTCTAGGATGCTAAGACTATGGCTTTTTATTATTTCCCGGCAGTAAATGAATTTCTCGCTGCATTTAATGAATGACTGTCTCAAATTAAAAAAAAATATTTTTTATATATATTTCTTAATGTATATTTATATCTATTGTATAAACTAGAAATTGTAAAAATTCACGCCAAAATATTAAGCGCTCCGCTTTGATCGAATATGACTCTCTTCGCTTATTTGATTTAACCTTTTTCTTAAAAAAAAAAAAAATAAATAAATAAAATTTCTTAAGAAATGTTTTTTAAATGAGTAAAATTAGTTTTTAATGTAATTATCTCTAATCATGATTATGTAGTCATCCATAATCCACAAGATTTTTATATGAAATAAATGATTTCAAGATGAATTAAATAATAATGATGATACTCAGAGAGAAATCGAACAACGATAAAGAAGTTATTATACTAAAAATAACTAAAATTCTATCTATAAAAATGGAAATCTTTTACATAAAGACGATTCGTTGCACAATATCGATCAAATCTATTGTCAACTACAAACTAATAATACCACTTGCTATAGAACATAGTTATAAGTCTATTATTATTGTTATATATATTGTTGCAAGAATGTATATTATTAGGCCTGTTCTTTTTGGTTGAACTTTTGCATCAGTTTATCTTTCTTTCTCTTCTTTCCTCCTGGAGAGAAAAGAAAGAAAGATGAATTGGTGCAAAAGTTCAGCCAAAAAGAACAGGCCTATTAATTACATCTGAATCAGTTGTATATATATTTAAAAGAAAGTTTTTAACATTTTTTAATAGAAACTATTTATGAAATATCTTTTAAAAATTCTTGTAAATATAATATTGTATTCGTCTCTAATATTCAATTGAACGATCATATTTAAAAAATACATTTACAAATTTTTTTTTATTAATATTATTATATTAATTATATAATATTATAGTACGTTATATTTAATAGTTGTAATATGTAATTTAAACTTTTGTAGTTACTTTTTTGTTCGAAAATGCACTATATTTTTATTAAAAATGTTGAAAACTACTTTTCTGATTTCCTTTAATATTGCATCAAGTATTTCACAAAAGTTTAATAAGTCAAATATGTATTTTTTTTCATTGTGTATGACTATTCAATTGCGATCGTTTTTATTTCCAATATATGATATTGAGGGATTAGAGAAGTCCGAATTATTGATGACAATAAAGATCTCACTTTCTATTGCTCGTCTAGTCCCATTCAGCATTAGCGACCAAGTAGTGTATCTAAAACATTTATCAAAGTTCAGTGTAAAATAAAAAGATAATATATAATCGATTGTACAAAAAATTTGTGTAAAAAGAGCATTGAGTAAATAAGATTGTAAGATTAATGGCATATTATATAAAGTATCGAAAAATATTTATTAATATATAAATAAAAAAAAATAAAAGATATAATTTTAAAAAACTGAAACTTTTTTGTATATATACCACAAAAAAATTTAATTTCTAAAAATTAAGATTCAAGGAAAAATTTCACTTCTCTCTTTTCCAAATTCATAAATATTATATATAGATAAGGCCACATACGCCGATATGCTATATTTTATTAGATATTAACATAAAGAAGTTAAATGCAACAAAAGGAAACGTTTCTACACAGTAATCATGGAAATTAAATATATGATAGAATTTATTTTTGTCATTACATTTCGATAATGTCTCATATCATTCAACTTCTTTATTTACTTAAACTTTAACTCCTATGATTAATTAACGCAAAGAGTAGCATTATTTCCAATAATGTAAACAAAATGTGCTAGCTTGTGTCACATACTCTAGTGGATTTAGTCTTATATTTTCTGATTGAATACACTAAGGGCAGTGACTTTAGCTTAAATCGTAAAAAATTTGTTCAGTGTAAAAAGAATATATACATCATAAAAATTATGAAACTAATTTTAACGAATGTATGTCATATATGGCACGAACAGATTAATTATTTAATAAAATATCGGCCATACCTTATCATATCTTGTACTTAATGTGTGATAAGATATTTATACGATATTCACATATTAATTTTTCTATTGATTTTTCCTATCAACGTATTATTCAAATCTTTAATAATTTTTCTATATTATAATAATTTTTCATGTTGCTTTTCTTGCTGCCAATATATTACTTTTCTTCAGCTAATTGCAAACTAAAGGTTAAATTTTGTATCTGTAAATAATCGCGAAATATAAGAAAGACAACGCATTTTATATTATACCTTCAGTGTAATGTTTTTTGCACAATATCCGATATACATCTTTACAATAAAAACTGAGTTCTAAAAATACAATTAATTAGATTTGTAAAATTGTGTGTAAAAATATTTCTTTTCGTGAAAATATTTTATGAATGGACAAAATAAACAATATAGTTCAGATGAATATACTTTAGATTTTTAAAAAATTAATATTTATGAAAATGACATGATTCGAACGCGCTTAACATCATAAAGATACTATAAGTGATAAATAAATACTTTTAATGTGTATGTATTAATGTATATGTAGATGACTAATACAAAAAAAACAATAACTAATGTGTTCTATCGCATTATTTATGTCTTTGTTGCAGATTCTAGAATATGCAATTTCAGTCAGTTATATGTATATATAAATCGAAAATAAATATCTCATTGAACACAATACATTCGTTTCATACGTTTAAACTTGCAATTTTAAAAAGTACTTTTCACAAAACACCGATGCATTGAATTTCCATAATTTGTACAAAGAATAGTTCATTGTCACAATTCTAAATTAATGTCACGATTCCAGCTTTAGTTTCTTATTATATTTACGTAAATAAAATAAACACTATTGTAATACGTGAATCTGAATTCATGAATACTGCAAACTAGACTACACCTTTTTATGTAATAGACACTTTAAAACCAAATTTAACATTTACTATAAAAACAGCCCGCATTCGCCCAAATAATGCAAATTGATCTTATGTGTCTCATATAAAAAATATTGAAATGAAAGGATTTCTTAATCAATAAATTCTTGATTGATTATATAAAAATGAATGTATAAAGATTTAATTTTCTTACTCATCGTATTTTTATGCTATCATTATAATTTTGTATATAGATTCATTATAATTTACAATGTTTAATTATATTATTAACACATATCTATATATGTGCTAATAATATTTAAATAATTCCTATTATAATATCTCATATAGAAAATTTTATGAATATAAACATAAAATATTTATACATTTAGAAAAAGACACCAAGAGATATTAAATGTATAGTAAACTATAGAATACAAAAATTCTTTTGAGTGAATAAAAATTATTTGAGCAAGAACGAGCTGTTGGTAGTACGGAATTATATTAATTAGTATGCATTTTTTTAGAATATAGAATCCAAATTGTAAAATAAAATGATTTTCATCTCCATAATACTTTCCATAAAATATTAAGAAACTAAAATATTTTCGGTCACATTTCAATCGATTACAAGCATTGTGAAAGCTAATCATTACAATGGATAAATCATTACATGGATAAAGTCATGTGTTTCATCTTGATCATCTTTGTTTTAAATTTTGAATATCTATCTTTGGCACAATATTTTAATTAAACAAAACTAGTTACCATTAAACATGAAAATAAAATTAATGGAAACATAAATGTACAGGTCATAATTCACAATATGCATGTACGTAGACAATGTGTAGTTCTTTTTGAACCTGTACTAATCATTTGTCCAAAGAAGCATATATAGAAGTTTTATCTATTGATAAATAAACTCCAAAAAATTAATCAATTCTATAATTAAAAACGTTTTCTACGCATATTTATACATACATTCACATACATATTCATGTATGTGCATATACATACATAGATGTAGATACATCTCTATATGCGAAGAGTTATATATTTAGATGTATATAAATACAAATATATACATATATGTATTCATATTTACATTTGTATTACATATAGTGAATTCCATATTACATATATATCTATATTTGTATTTATAATGTGATATTGCTAACAAAAGTAACTATCTAGGATGATAATCAGTTCATTTGATGTGTACTTGATAATTATGCCCCTGTGTATATTGTATACATAAGTGCATATATGTATCTCTATTTTTATTCCTAACACTCACACATTTGTTCATGCACTATATGGAAACGAATGTACGCTTCACTTCACTTTTAGCAATAACACTTTTGTACATAGAGCAGTATCATATCGAAAGAACGAGATATAGACAACAGTTTCACATTTAACAGTAGAGCGATAAAATAAAACAGATCAGTCCCAACTGCCGTCAGTTTCTACTTCGTTAAGTGCATCTTCTGCATCAGAGATCATACTTTCATACGATAAATCTGGCTCATCTTCTAGGAACTCATCCCGTTTTCTTTTGTTCAAGCCTAACTTGCGTTTCTTCGTTGTGAACGCAAGCTCATCCTCTGGCGTTCGCTCCTTGCGGAACTCATAGACTAGTGGATAAATATGTTCAATTGCTGCTTGGACAGCAGCAACGTTAGGTGCTATAACACAATAAACAATTATTGTATAATTATATACCTTTATGTCAATTAATTTACAATGATTCATAAAACAAACATAAAAATATATTATGATATTTATGAAACACAAAAATTTTTAATGTTTAACTTCTGATATATATTTAATGTTTCTATTTTATTCAATTAAAACTTTTAAGAAATGCTGTACTATATAATCAAAACCAAAATATCTAATGTAAAAATATTTATTCGTGTAAAAAAATATTGATATATTTTGTGATAAAATAATTTCATAAAATTCCTAATATAATTTTATGTGATCAAGGATATACAGAGATTAAAAATCTTAGTAAAATAAGTATCAAAAATGACTATAAGTTTCTTTATAATAACAAAATGTATAATTATAATACCAACCTGTTACAGTAACACTTCCTGTAGAAAATATCTTCAGAGTAGCTTTTGGTTCTTTTAGTTTATATGTGACACCAGGGTGTAATTCTGGCTCATAACTGTAAATCACATAAAAATATTTA